GGGTTGTCAGTTGTGGTTGGGGGGGGGTGGGCAAAAGGGGTACGGGTTGGTGTGTCAGGATAAAAGGAATCCAGCAGTGCCACATCAGATTTTTCAAATTTCTGTAAGGCTTCTGTGAGAATAAATCTGTACGTGTAGCATTATTCTTTTTTTATAAGAATGATTGTCAAATATGCTCTAAAAATTCAAGCCCAAAGGGAAAAGTGATTATAATTTACTACAAATCAAGACAGAATTGCCTCGCAATTATTATCTACAAATCTTCCCCTTCCAGTCTTCCAAAGTGCAAGCACAAGAGAAGATGTGTAAATATAAAGGAAGATAATTATTTTTCACATATATTATGTTTCACATATTAATATTACAAAACAAACACTTTTAATTTAACTACTCAACACCGTGCATCTTCCTTAACAGACCCACAAACTCGTGAGTCCGTTCAGGATCAATATAGTTTTTGGCAACACTGTCCCTCTCCTTGCATCTATTAACCCAGGCTGCAAATTTAGGACACTCTTTTTCAATCTTGAATCCTCCGTATTTCTCGTACGCGTAAAACCAGGTCGTGAGGCCGATGAGGATAACGTCGACAAACCCAAATTTGTCGCCCCCAAAGTAGTCCTTATCCCCCATGGCTCCTTCTAGCTTCTTCAGAATATCAATAAATTCATTCTTAGCTGCCTCTAGCTCCTCCCCCTTGCTTTGCCATATATTCCTGCCTGCATCGAACACCTGAAACACCGGAAGGACTCCAATGATCATGTATCATACACATAGTGATGCAATTTGATTAAATAAGTTTGTTTCCCTTTAACAACTTTAAGTTTTAGGTTAGGAGGCTCAACATAGCATTAAAGTATCAGAACTATTTATATAAATTGTCCAACATCGTGATAGGGCACGTCCAACACATAAAAAAATTGTTGCATATGTAAAAGTTAAGTTTTTAGACGAAAAATATTATTTAGCACGGGTGGTGTTAGGGCATCAGTCTAAGAGCTATACCTTATATGTTCAATTAAATGAGCCATGTGACTTTACATTTAAATGAATATATTATTTAATATCATATAATTGTCATCTAGACTGATATGATGAATAGCATTACTCTTTGGATAAATCTATTTCTACATAATACTTCCTACTGAATTATTTACCCCCTCTCAGATGCACGCATGCCCCGTGTGAATAAAAAAATCCAAAGATGTGGTCCCCACCCCTTATTGTGAGTAGTCGATAAAGGATTATGTAAAAAAATTTGGTACATGTAGTACGACCCTTACTTTTTTTAGATTAGTCCACTCAACCTATCTAAAGGATTGTATAGAAAACTAAGCATCGAGTGCATGTAGGTAAGAACATTTTTTCTTCGTGTGGAGTAAACGAACCTTCTTGTCAATGAAATCAGCCCAGAAGCGAGCCGTGGACTTTCCATAAGAGCAAGCGGGCAGCAATTGGGGCGAAGGCCATGTCTCATCGATGTAATACACAATGTTTGTGGACTCAACTACCGGTTTCCCATTGTGCAGCAACACTGGAACTTTGGCATAAAGAGGGTTCGATTTCAATAGTAAATCACTCTTCCCTCCTAATACGTCTTCCTCTTGGGTTTTATACGACAGACCTTTCTCAGCTAGTGCGATTTTCACCCTCGTCGAAAATGGACTAACCCACAAATCCAACAGAAGAAGCTCTTCGTTTGTAGGCATCTTAATTTCTTCTTGCTAAAATTTGATTTTTCTTAATTGAGTACTGATGAATATTGTTATAAGATGTAGCTGTTTATATAGGGAACGATTTTGCAGTTCTAATGCAAATCTTGTTGGTTGCGTATGTTCAACAGAACTTTGGAATAATCGTACCTTGTTCATTGTGGAGCTGTACTCTCTAGAGGATTGGTAGTTTGTAGTGAGAGCATGGCATTTGTGTTGGCAATTTTGTGAAAGAAAAAAGATGCTTAAAAACATTGCTCGTTCGGGCCACTAGGAGCCCAACTTGATCCATTTGTCATTTGAAGGAGATTATTTGAAGGAAACAATACATAAATCTTACATATTAAAATCACATTTCAAAATTAACAAATCTGTTAAATTATTTCAAAATTCAGGTATTAATTCCAATTAAATATATATAATATATAATTAATTATCCCTACTCCACCCCCACCAAACCAA